ACGCACACACAAACCAACCGACCAACTGACCAACAAACGGGAGGCGGGGTGTGGAGGGGAGCAGGTGGAAGACAGATGGTGGCGTCTAGACATGAGCGAGAGTGCACAAAAACGAGATGACAAAGCGATACCGCCGGACCAGAAATCGGCAGAACCGCAAAAAGCCAGTGCGGAACTCCGTTCTTCCTTCCACGTCCAAGACGGCACGGCAGACAACGGACAGACACGGACTGACGCCAAGCCTCTCAGCGCAGTTTTCCTGCACGACTACGATCTACGATACCATCACAGCAGCGATCATCCTCTCGAGTCCACCACGGCGTGAAAAGCGACACATGACTGGTGGGCCCGATGGACAAAACCCGGAGAACAGCAGGCAACCATGCACGGCACGGCTCCGCTTGCATGCACGCATGCATGCATGCATGCATTGCATGCACAACGGGCGAGTGACCGAAACGCCCCCCAAGGTAGCCGCGAACCAGGATGAAGGTACTCGAGAGACGCCGGTTTGAGAGCAAAACAAGAGAGCGAGACGGTAGTACGGGAACGGTCGGCCGGTTCACTCGCTAGGTAGTAGCAACGTACGTTACGTCTCTGCAGACACAGGAGCAGGGTCCTCCCGGTCGCCGTCGCCCGTCTGTAGCGACAACCACAGGCCGTCGCCCATCTGTAGCGACAACTAAACTACAGGCCGTCGCCCGTCTGTAGTGACAAGTTGACATCTACACGCCGTCGCCCAGGTATAGAGACAAGTTGACGACTTCACCCCGTCGCCCAGCTGAGCGACAACGACCTACCGTCGCCCAGGTATAGAGACAAGTGAACAACTTCACCCCGCCGCCCAGCTGAACGACAATAACCCGCCGTCGCCCAGGTATAGCGACAGCTACTGCACGTAATCTCCACTTCAAAGCCTGAAGTAGCTGACGTATGTGGCAATTGATCCTTGTACGTCCGTTTACGGTCTTCCCGATCTGCTACGCTCCTACTCCCTTTTTACTATCTCCGACCACCTCCTCTTCACTTCATCTCTCTATAATGGTGTTCTGACTCGGCCTCTTCTGCACGTATACGACCACAATCACGACCGCATTCGGTCAGTGTGGTTACAGTTCTCATGGACGTAGAAAACTACAGGTCCAACATACAGATACTATTTTTCCCTTCGATTCCGACGCTCCTCTTCCTCTTCCTCACCCCGCCACTTTCGCAGCCCGCCGATTTTCCGTGCCTCCCCCCCGCTTCCTGCGCTTCCCACCCTCCGCTTCCGTTTCCGCTTCTTCCTTCCCTCTTGCTTGCTACTCCGCAGCCCGACAAAATTCACACATTCCGCAGCCCGCCAATTTTCACACACACCTAAAAAGCTATGGCCACGGCTCCTACGGCGACCCGCCAATTTTCACACACACCTAAAAAGCTATGGCCACAGCTGCTACGGGGACGGGACATCACTGCACAGTGGCGGTGGCGGAGAGCAATAAGCGCTCTCAGAGACGGGACATCCCTCAGGACCTCTTTTTGGAGCTCGATCTCTTTTTGTTTTATTTTTGGTTTTGTTCTTTATTCACTACGCAATATTCTTCTCTCAAATCTTTCATCATCTTTCAAATTCTTTCAAGTCACCTTCACTACCTACCTACGACTACTAAGGCTTATACAGGGGACCCCCTCCTCTAGGGTGGTGTGGCGGGAAAGGGAGGGAAAAAACAAAAACTAAGCGCCTCGCCACACAACTCTTGAAATGTGAAAAAGACAAAAATGTGGCGGGTGCATCTGGCGGTGTTCTAGCGGGAAGTTCATTCTCATTTTACACATTTCAAGAGTGGTGTAGCGATGCCCTGAGGAAAGGAAAGAAAAAAGAAGAGAAGAATATAGGAAAAAAAGGAAATAAAAGAAAACAAAAGAAAGAAAAAAGAAAGATAACCTGACGCACGAGGAGGCGGGCAGTGCTGTATCCGACAGAGTGCAGCGGCCCCGCATTTTTGGCCACGAGGGCAAGGGCGCTGTCAGGCATGCTCACACCGCGACTTCTCGGGCTGAATCTGGCTGATACGTCTAGGAGTGACCGGAAGTGGTGTGAAGATGCCCTCAGGGCAAAAAACTCACACTAGGACTTTGTTACTTAAATTTTGACGTGACTGCGGCCAAATACATCCACGTGTGGCCCTAAATGCACTCAGATACATTTACTAAGGTGCTAATGTGCGTATGGTCTCAGAGGTCCAAACTGCCCACCCTCTGGTCCTCCCTGTCAGCGTCTACCGTAAGGGCCTCGCCACACCACCCTCGAAATGTGGAAAAGACAAAAATGTGGCGGGTGCATCTGGCCATGTTCTAGCAGGAAGTTCATACTCATTTTGCACATTTCGAGAGTGTGGCGACTCCTTAACACTGCGCATGATAAATGTGCACCGTGGGTTGAGACTGTCAGAGCACGCAAGAATGGGATACCGACAGTGATTGAGGACCTCGTTCCGTCGACCGCCAAAATAGCGGACGTACGTATCTGGACACATTCCACTCGCTGGTTCCGATATTTGCCACCTGATGGAAGCAGGCCCTCAACGAGAAGAGCTGTGGTCACACATCTCTCAACAGGGCCGAGTTCATATTAATAAATAGATGAGGACAACAGCACACTGGAGATCCCAGCTGTCACGCCCTTCTTATATAGAACGAATAACGGCAGACTGGACGATCGACGGTCCGTAGTAGAATGAATAACGGCAGACTGGATGATCAACGGTCCGTAGTACCGTACCAAATGCGATTTCGCGCTAAGCTTCCGCCTTCCGCGTGTGTTCGACTGGCCGAAATGATTTCCGTCCCGTTTTCGCGCCGCCTACCAGCGGTAGTTCACTTTTTTTTTTTTCCGTGACCGCGCCGGTCCGCCCCCGGCCGATTTGCCGGGCGAGCTTCTTGATGGCCCGCTTCCCTTTTTCCCCTACCTTGCATCATTCCCTGCCGTCTTCCCCCGAGCATAACGCACCCTGATAATGAATGTTTGGAAGCGATCTTCCCGGTCCGGTACAGCCATAATGAGGGTGCGTTGTGTTCGGGGGAAGACGGTGGGGAAGAGCGTTCCCAGGCGCCTCCGAAGAGGACGCAGAAGGAAGACAAGAAGTTGCGACCTGCAGATCCGCCGAGCGGTAGCGGTGGCGATAGCCACGCGGAGAGTTGGAATCCTGTGTGCCTGCCCAAAACGCCTTTCGGGGCTCCGTTCCCAGTCAGGGGCCGTTCACGACAGGGTTGTTCTTTCTCTGTCAGTCAGTTGCGTTTGTCTCACATAATATAAATCCACTTGGGATCCCAAGTCCCAAATCTCTTTCAAATTTGAACCATTTTTCGGTTCGTATCGGTCAGATTCTGAAGGATGTTCCGAAGGGAGGAGTCCCAGATCTCTTGCGCACTTCAAGTATCAGTCCCTTTTTTTCCCTTTTTCTTTTGGTGAAATTGCATATGTACCGCACTTAAAGATGGGAATAGGGGGGGATGCCGGTTCGCGGCGCTGGTTTAGCGCTCGGTTCCGCTACCGCCGGTGTTGTCTTTCAGCCGGCCTATCCCGCGAGGCCCAGCTATCACAGTGACGGCTTCGTTGACCTAACTTTTCTGCTTCCCCTTTGAGAAGCAACACGGCTATGGCCGTGGGGAAAGTAAGGATGGGATATCCTTGTAGCCATACGGGGCCATAATCATAACTCAGTCAAGATAACTACTTGGTCACCTTTGACACCAAGTTAGCTCGCACTTAGAGCTTTGTGTTGTTGCAAGCACATACCTGCTTGCCACCTGGAGGATGGAGCACCAGGCAGCCAGTCATGAGGCACGAGAGGACGGGGCTAAGCCCCCACCACCAAAAGACGGAGCCAGAGAAGAAGTCATGGAGGATGCTACGGCAGGACAGGCCGGAAACACCACGGAGCAAGACCGATCCGGGGGAAGATCCCCCCC